TTGACTTGCATTGTTTCAAATGCTTTTATGCTGCAACATTCAGGATTTATAAATATTGGAGTCCAGTTAAAAAGCTAGTGATACCAGTAAATCTTTATCTTAAAATGATACCACCAGCAAAGCAGCATTTTGCTATGCAATGGTTTGTCATATTATGAAAAAGAGATCTATTTCTGTCCTCAAATCAAACTTGAAAGATGTTAATGTTAATGATGAGAAGGATTCCAAAGCTTGTTTGGTATTGCAGCAGCATATTTTCTGCCTTACTAAGGAAATGGATGGTTCGACAAAGCATCCCAGCAAATGTGCATCCTGTGGGTTTTTTAAAAAAAATGTAGCTTCAGTAAATCTAGGTGCGAAAGCTTATCCCAGATGTATCTTTCCTTTGATCTGGTATTTGCTTAAAATTCAGCTGTGCATGTTAATTTGTCTTCTTCACACTGGCGGGGTTATTAGCTTGATTCTCTGACAATTATCTCAATATTTATTGTTTATATGGAGTAAATAACCTTCTTAAAGAAAATCTGGACAAAACCATGTGTTTTAAGCAAAAATCAGTCAAAATAAAATGAAAAGAAAGAATGATCGTCGCTTTTAAAAAATGGTACATCTTCACTGTTCCCTCTGAAAGAGTGGATAGGAACTTGTTCTTAGGCGGCTGATACTGCTGTGATCATCTGCCAGGAAATACCCAAGGACATATTGGAACTAGAGCCAACTTCTCATCATTTCTCCCCCTTTCTCTTTCTCCCACTTTCTCTCTGTGGAAATGGCTGACTTTCATTTGGCACATGTCTCACGGCAGCAGTGTTGAAATCAGAAAACTAGCAAATGGGAAATTGTGTGAGAGTCCACATCAAATCTATGGCACAGGACATTACTGAATCAATATGTTACCTTACCACTTTGTCATTATAAGGCTTTTAAATGTGGCTCAGCTTTGTGAGAGAAAATGTAGTGAATAATCTGCTTAAATAAAATCTGGACAAAACCATGTCTTTGATGTTTTAAAAGATTTTAGTGAGATTTGCTTTTCAATATTCAAAGCATATTCTATGACAAACTTGCAGAAAAATGTGAGTGATTTTTAAAAGTACCCAAATGTGACATTAACTCTTATAGCGAAATTTTGAAATCTAGATTGTTTATTAAAGTGTCATCATGGGTTGCATGATCACAGTAGTTTGCATTTTAAGCAAATTAAGTATAGCCTTGTGAAATGCAGAATGCACTGTGCCACTAATTTACATGGTTTTAAGTTTAAGGAAAATCTGAGATTAAAATACTACAAATAATGTAATCTAACATTTACCACTAGGATTTTATGGATAGAGCTCAAATGTGGAATTGCTAAAATATTAACATTGACTTCGGCTGAATGTTTGTGTCAGAGATGTTTGTGTTAGAGTTTATTGAGAATTCATCCATACAGACTACAGTGGAATTTTTCATAATCTTTTACTGATTTTCAGTATGGGAATATCATACTAAAATGAGAGCACATTTAGTGGTTCACAGCAACAGGTTATGAAGAATAATGAATATCCCACTGCATTTTTTTATGGAGGAGTTTAATGTAATTAAACCTCAACAAGACCGAGGCCCTCCCATCAGCGCCTCCACACCTCAGACAACATCACCATCCAAGGATTCACACTACACCTTACTAAGCCAGTCCAGAAACTTGTCATCTTCTTTGACCCTCAACTACCCCACATCTGTGCCATACCCTGCTCTACGTTCCCCCACCTCCGCAACATCACCCGGCTCCACCACCGTCTCACACCGCAGGCTGCCAAGACCCTCATACACGCATTCATAACACCCAGGCTCAACTACGCTAACTCCCTGCTTGTCAGCCTCTCCAGCTCCTCCCTCCATAAGCTTCAGATCATCCAGAACTCTGCAGCCTGTGTCCTCTCCCGCAACAGATTCAGTGATCCTATCACCCCCATCCTCACCCAACTCCACTGGCTTCCCATCACAGAGAGGATACAGTTCAAGATCCTGGTCCTCACCTTCAAAGCCCTCCATGGCCTTGCTCCCGCCTACCTCTGCAGCCTCCTGACCCCCTATCAACCTGCCCCCTCCTTCCGCTCAGCGGTCTCTGGCCTGCTTCGCGTCCCCCACCTCGCCCGCCCCACCTTTAGCGGGTGGGCCTTCTGCCACTCTGCCCCCACCCTCTGGAACTCCATTCTGCAATCCATCTGCCTCACACCCTCCCTTGCCTCCTTGAAGACCTCCTCTTCAAGCGTGCCTTCGGCGACCCTCCTTCCCCGCCCGATGCTGACTCCCAGCTTGGATCTGAAACGCTGATTGTCCAGTGCCTTGGGACATCCTTCTGACGTGATAGGCACTGTATACAAATGTAATTTTGCTGTAATTGCTGGCAATATTTTTGGACTCGTTGCCCTTTTTGAAACCACAAATTTATCACAAGAACATTTTAGCACCCTTTTCTAATGCTTTGAAAAATATACGTATTTTAAAAAGCTCATTCTATGTACAGCATTAGCAGAAGGTTACATCCAGAGAGGATTATTTTATTATCTTATTTAATGTTCCCTTCAGCCAAAGTAAATAAATGCAGTACAGGTGTATTTTTTTAACCAGTTTGCATGACTGAGCACAATGTAGAATCTGAATTGCTTTGACATTGTGGTCTTTTCTGCCAGCTGTCTCAGAAAGATACATTGAATTAAACTATTGGTAGTAAATGAACAGTTGTGTTGCGTTACTGGTACAGAATATGTATGTTGAGGATTGAGAATGCAGATACTGGATTGCATTGAGTTTCTCCTAATTCGTATATGCAAGATGGCTCCAGTTCATGACGTGCTGCACACCTTCAGGTCGCTCAATATTATCTTGTGGATACCTTTTATTTTGAAAAGACAAGCCTGCATTAATCACATTTTCACTGGAAATTCAAGTCAAGTGTAGGTACTGAAAATCAACGTATTTTGTGTTCCTGATAAATAAGGATGTTCGTGCAGTAGGATTAACAATTGTGCCGTCATGACAGCAGGTTCATTATGCACACAGTTTCCTGAGATTTCATCAGGAGTGACTAAAGTGTGTTATTTGAGTGTTTTATTAAAATATAAACTATTGCAATAATTTGAAATGGATTTTTTTTTAAAATGTGTAATTTAAAAAAAAATCTATTGGGAAGGCAAGAGCCCTGTTGTATTTCAATTGATAACCTGACAGATTAGACTTGTTGTAGCTTGAATGATTCAAAGTAATATGCTGTGGTTGTTAATACTAGTTAATATTCTAATCGCTGATACACATCCTTAGAAACTATTTGACTTCTTGATTTTTTAAAAAAAAGATTACCAGAAAATGCAGCAAAACGTTTAACCTTTCCGTTTTAAAAATAATGGCACTGCATTATTGTAGATGTATACCACATCCAGTTCTGTTTGTAAACAGTAAATAGACACTCCCCCATTCAGCTTTGCAAATTTTGCATTTATGTTCCATGTTGAACTGGGTTAAATTTAAATTTCTTATGCAAATGTGAATTGTAATTCTTTAACACCTATATTTTACTTTTAATATTTAGACATAAATATTTAGCCTCGCTCCCTCCCTTGCTTTCTTCAAGGCACTTCTCAAGACCCTCCATTTCGATCCCGCCTTCGGCCACCCTCCCTCTTCCCAACGCACCCCCACCCTCAGGTCCCAATCTCTGACTGTCCAGTGCCTTGGGACATTCTAACAGAGCGAAAGGCGCTATACAAATGTAATTTTGCATTGTATTAAGCATGGAAATATAAACTGGAGCTGTACAGTGGTTGTGGAAGTGTTAGTGTGAATTCAAATAGCTGACTTTGGGTGCAAAATTGCATACAGCATCAGTTGGTGGTAGACTACCTGCTGTCTTAGCTCTTCTCATCTGCAAGCGAGGAGATAGACATCATGGAAACATCAACCGCTAAGCAGGCACCACCCTCACTGTAGTAGTTGCTATCGGCTTGGAATTGATCAAAGGTTCGGTCATTACTGATTCACATCCTTAAGTGGAGTTTGGATATGACTACCCATGCACTTGTCAGCAAGAGCTGGCTTTCATTAATCAAGTCATCAATCATTGTCTACCTTTAGCACCTTCTTAGGCATTGTTTTTGGAACCATATTGTTACCCACAAAGTCTTTCTGAGCTCATGGTGGGGTTCATATTGATTTCCAAATGCTTCATCCAGTATTTAATTTGTTTTGGGAAGGTGGAAGCACACTGGACCTTTTGCTCTGGATGAGTTATCTGCAGCTAATGGAACAATTTATACTCTAAATATATATACCATAAATCAAGAAATATTCAATCAATAAAAACTGAAACACACTACTGAATGAACATGGACTTACCTAAACCTGTGCAAATGTTCGGAGTGGGAGGCTGGGGGTTGCTTGACGGTTCCCATACCACAGGTTGGGCACAACTGCCCTGGAGAATCTAGACATCTTTGCTCAACAGTTTGTGTATCTCTGTTGATATGGTACTTTGAATAACTTGCCGAATTTTCCGAAGTATTATTGCTAAAATCTAAATGTTGATACATTTTATGTGCATATTACATTGTACTATTGCATCTACTTGGATTGTCTGTTCAAAGAAGTAAGGTGTGAAACATTTAAAGTGGAGCAAAGCACCTGACTCAAGCCAACCATGAATGAGTGAGCTGTCTCACAATGTTCTCTTTGCTCTCCTCCCCATTGTAGAATATTGAGGATTGAAACAACAGTATTTAATTGAACCTTTACTTATGCTATTTTAAGTAAATATGAGGTTTAATTGCTATAGTTCCCTTGTTTTTATCAATGCAATAATTGATAAAATATTGATTTATTTGGGTGAAAGCAGTAAAGAAAAATACAAAGATTAGATCCGGTGGTAATTATGTAAGCAGTTCGAAGCCTTGGTTCACGTTGATGTATTTGTCCTAAGTTTGATTTATGATCTATTTAACATAATTTTCTTTCTTGTTTTGCAGGTTTAACTATCGTTCAACACATTATCTCACAACTCATGGATTCTATGATTTTCTAAACTGGTTTGATGAAAGAGCATGGTATCCTTTGGGAAGAATTGTTGGAGGAACGGTAAGCACAGAACATGATATGAAAATCTAGTCATTCCATTTATAAAATTCATATTTGTGCAGGGTTTTATCTGATTTATTTGCTAAGCAAAACAAAAGCAAAGTCCAAAATGTAAAGCAGGGGTGGCTAACCTTTGTAGTCGGCCAACAAAATAAAGTTGTTTGACAGTCCCGCGGGCCACTTCTAATATGCAGGCCACAGGTCACTGTTGATGGAAAGGAAGCTTTATCTGCTCAGCCTCTTTCTAAAGGAGTTGCACTGAATATCAGCTGACTTCAGGGAAGGGAGAAGATACCCTTGTGCCTGTTGCTGTTTTATTGTACTTGTGGAAACAATCCCATCAATACCAACAGTTCAACCACTGGGAGTGGTGTCAGCACACCTGGTGTACTTGCTCAATTTGATTTTTTTTACTTGATTGTCGGCCTAAGAAGCCCTGTCACAGACTGACCCAACGCTTAACCCAGGATTTGTTCCATGCCAGACTGCCAGACATAATAATAATAATAATAATAATAATGATCCTTGCATTTGATATAGCACTTATCACATCTTCTAGACGTCTCAAAGCGCTTCGCAGAATATGCTGTAAACTGAATTGACCATATATTTGTGGGCGAAACGCGGCAGCCAATTGCGCACAGCAGTGTCCCACAAACAGTCGTGGATTGAAAATGACCAATTTATTATTGTTTTGTTTTTTGGAGGGATTATTATTAGGCTCTGTGTGGAGTAAGGAAACTTTCCCAAGGTTTCGCCCTGTGCCTGGAATTGAACCCAGGTGTCTCACTTGTAAGGCGAGTGCTCTAACCACTGAGCTGCAGGACTCCATATAGGCCATAACAAACATTTTAAGTGTTAATTTTGACACAGCAGAAATGTCTCTATTTGGGTTACGCAGCCAGAAGTTTGAAAAGAAAAAAAAATTGAATAAGTATAGGAACAGGAGTAGGCCAGCGTGTTGCACATATGTCAAAATCTAATTTCTTAGTGCATTCTCCATATTCGTTAATATCTCGCCTCCTTAATATCTATCTTTCTAGTTCTCTTTTAATGATAATAATAATCCTTGCATTTGATATAGCGCTTTTCACGTCTTCTGGACGTCTCAAGGTGCTTCGCAGATTATACTGTAAAGTGAATTGACTGTACATTTGTAGGCGAAACGCGGCAGCCAATTGCGCACAACAGTGTCCCACAAACAGTCATGGATTGAGTGACCAAATTATAATTGTTTTTTTTAAGGATTATTATCCCCGGAAAAACGATCCACTAATCGACTAACAACTGGGTTCCTATTTATTGCTAGGTAAACAGGAGTGTGGAGTAAGAAAACTTACCCGACATTTTGCCCTGCCGGGAATAGAAGCCAGGTCTCTCGCTTGCGAGGCGAGTGCTCTAACTACTGAGCTACAGGACTCCACAGGTTTTTTTTAAACCATCCAAATCGATTCTGAACCTATGATCTTCTGGGGCATCCTACTTTCTCAAGGCCCAGTGTCTAAAGAAATGTTATTATGATACAAATTTGAGATAAATCCCATCTAAATGTTAGATTGTCATCCTCGGGTACAGTGTTAGTGTTTAATAGTGTTAAATATTTATTGCTTTGCTTGTTAAATTAAGGCAAACATTTTTAAAAAAAAAAATTGGGTCAGCCGGGTCTCTGACACGTGCGGAAACCTATCATACTTAAGACTATCCAAACCATGCATCCCACGTACACATGGAAATCCCAGAGAGAGAATGTTGGAATGGAATACGCACTCTCTCCCTGGAGGGACACATCCTATATACCTAATTCCGGAAAGTATTAGATGCAGGTTGGCAACAGCCAAGGCTTGGGGACCCCAGAGTGAGGGTTGGGGTACTGCTGGAGTCTAACCAACTAAAACCGCATAGCTTGCCATTGATATCACTGTCTGACAAGCTTTCCCGCTGCTTGTCCATCGAGCACTACCCTACCCGTTAGGGCCTTGGCTTGTATGGTTAACAGGAGCTGAGTGGAATGATTCCCTGGCCTCAGTGACTGATCTGCCCTTCCATCCTGCCACTGATCCAGGCTGGCTGTCCGACATCAGCCGTGCCCTGGAATACTGTGGACCCGCCTGGCTCAGGAACGGGACTACCGAGACCACCGCAGAGAGCTGGTTCGATTCCGACATTCCATTGCCAGGCATGTCACCTTGGAGCCAGTTCCAAGATGACATGCCTGGTAAGTTTTTCAAAGAAAAGAAATTCAGACACCAATTCGGCTTTCAATCCTTGACTGTAATACTTTTTGTATTGGTTGTAAAACAAGAGGCTAATCTGAAATGTTGCAATAAAAAGAGATAAAGACAAATTAATTCCTTAGTTTAAAAAATTGCATATCTTGTAATTGAAAGCACCATCTGGCGAGCTTTCTTGCTTGTCCAGCTATGGCATCCTTCTTTATCAGGACTTTGGCTTTCAGAGGCGTAACAGGAGCTGAGTAGAAAGAATCCCAGCCTCCAGTGCCTAGTGTACCTCTCCACATTCTGTAAATCGGTCAGCTGGATGTCATCAATAGTTCACTGGATTACTGCAGACCCGCCTGGTTCAGGAACCAGACTACCGAGACTGCCACAGAGGATTGACTCCACTCTGACATTCCATTTCCAAGTATGTCATCGTGCGGCCAGTTCAGCTCCAAGGAGCCCCCTTTTAATTCTTGCATTTGATATAGCAACTTTCACTTCAGGAGAACATATCAATGCACTTCAAGTTACTGTAATGTAGAGTGACTGTATATTTTGTGAACAAACGCTGACAACCCCCTCCTCCAGCCTGCCCAGATCAATTCTTTAAATGTATTCTCTCTACATGTAAAACGTGATAAGGGATTATTACCCCTGGAAAAGTAATCCCCCAATTGACTAACAACCAGGTTCTCTCCAGTTCCACATTGTCTTCAATTCATGAATCCATAACTTCATAAGCTTTTGTGGTGGAACTATTTATAAATGTCTAAAATGACCTTTGTTTAATTTGGACATTTTATCACATTTCTACCAAACATAATATTGGGATCAACAATTTTTCAAAAGAATAATTGGGTAACTCAATCCCCAGCTGTTTGTGGGACACTGCCGTGCACAACTGTTTGCCGCATTTCGCCCACAAAATATACAGTCAATTTACTTTACAATATAAATTGTGAAGCGCTTTAAAACATCTCAAAGACGTGATAAGGTGCTATATCAAATACAAATATTATCGTTATTAAAACATTTCAGTTGAGCATCAAACTTTCTGTCCCAGCATATCCCAAGCAATTGCCATCCCATAAGTGCTTCCAATAACCATTTTCATTGCTAAGGCTACAAATTCACAAAAAGAACTGGTGATAACATCGCATTTTCCACCTACTGAACAATAGCCACAGAGAGAGAAGTGACCGTCAGGATGCCTAAGTTTGCTAGCAGTATTTGATTAAAGAATTGCGTGGGAGTGGAGCAATATTGCCAAAACTGCTTATAGCAAACTCACTGCTGCCTTCCAGAATAAAATGTGGAGCAACTTGACCTGTGGGGATATGTGCAATGTCAAAATTGCTTTTTAAATTTAGTTGGACTATTATGAGTGAGAAGAAAAAAGGCCTCCCGGTACTTGGTATTTGAAAGGGCGAACATTTAGCAGATTGAGTCAAAATATCACTTAGCCATGTTGAGATGTTTTATAGATGCTGAAAATACTATTAAAATGAAATATGAATCTAATTGTATAGTGCCAAATGTAACCATATTGTAGTTCAGAAAATGTTTCCTGTGTTCATTGGAGTCCTATAGCTTAATGGTTAGAGCACTCGCCTCACAAGCGAGAGGAGGGCAGGGCGAAACAGGAGGAGCAAGGCAGTGGAGGGTTTTGAAGGTGAGGACCAGGATCTTGAACTGTATCCTTTGCGTGATGGAGTTGGGCGAGGATGGGGTGATAGGGTCGCGGAACCTGGTGCAGGAGAGGACACGGGCTGCAGAGTTCTGGATAATCTGCAGTCTGTGGAGGGAGGGGTTGGGGAGGCCGACAAGCTGGGAGTTTGCGTAGTCGAGCCTGGATGTGATGAGGGTCTCGGTGGCCTGCAGTGTGAGATAGTGGAAGAACCGGGCAATGTTGTGGAGGTGGGGAAAGGTGGAGAAGGTCATGGCATGGATGTGGGAATGAAGAACAGTTGAGGGTCGAACAGCACGCTGAGATTCTATGTTGGCTCCGGTAGGTGCAGAGTGCATCCATGAAGGGTGATGCTGTCACTGACGGGAGCCAGGCATGAGGGCCTCGGTCTTGTTGACATTCAACTGGAGAAAGTTAGCTCTTATCCAGGACTTGATGTCCGACAGGCAGTCTGTGAGGGCAGGAGTGGTCCTGGAGTTGAGGTTGATCATGTCTACGAATGATGTCACCAAGAGGGAGCACGTAGATGTTGAAAAGTAGAGGACCAAGGGCTGAGGAACTCAACACATGATGGTGTAGGGTCTGGAGGAGAAGCCGTTAGTGGAGACAAGGTGGAGACAGTATGAGAGGTAGGATTTGAACCGGGGAGGGCAGCTCCGTGAAGGTTGAGCTGAGAAGAGAGGTGGTGTAGGAGGATAGACTGATTGATAGTGTCGAAGGCGGCAGAGAACCTGGTCGCAGAGGGACAGAATGTCGTCAGTGACTTTGACCAGGGCTGTTTCCGTTATGTGGGCAGCACAGAAACCCAATTGGAATAAGTAGGAACCCGGTTGTGAGTCAGTTGTCAGATAGCTTTTCTGGGGGTAATAATCGGTTCAAAAAAATATTAATCATTTGGTCACCCAATTCATGACTGTCTGTGGTCAGAATGTACGTGTGATTTTTGTACACGTGGTTAACAGGAGCTGGTCTTAGCTGCTCCAGCTCGGGCGGTCTGAGCTGGACAAATGTTTTCTCCTTGGAAAGAAGAGCCTGGCAGACAGTGATCTCAGCAGCAATCTACGCAGTTTAAGTGGTTAAATTTCGGCCGGACCCTAGAGCACATTGTGATCCCCAAGCCTTGGTTCTTGCCTCTGATGCTGTCTGGAATTTGGTTAGTAGATTGTGTCCTTCAAAGGAATGAGTGGAGACACTCCCATTTCAGATGCAGGAAAATGTCGATGTTGAGTTGTCATGAATATGTAAAAATCTTAGCCGGGTCTAGATGCCCATGGGCATGGGGATAGATTGCCACACGTGTCACCTGACTGGTAGCAAATTATTTTCATTACAGGCCTGCTCTTTTGAATTTAAAATGAAATATTCTTTACAGTGTTTTTTTTAAAAATCCTTTGTGTATCCAGTTCTATTATTAGAGATCTCTAATCAATAGTCCAAAAGACCTCTCTATGTTTTGTGCTGGTGGTATGGGGATGAAAACTAAAGTTGTTTTTGTTCAGTTTGTAAAATCATTTTGCATTTTACAAGCTGAACATTTTACCTACAACTGAATGCTACAGGCACCAGAGGGTAACATTAACTAGCCTGCCAGTTCAGTGAATGGATTGATGCCACTTAATGTACCATCGGTCTGATGCACTATTGAATGGATTTAAGTCCTAATTCATGCTCATTGCACAGTGCTCCTGACAAGACAAGAATCTTCCAAAGCCTGTGCATTATTTTGCAGGATACAGGAGCTTTCACTGCAGACCAGCGACTCCCATCAGGAGTTGTCCTTGTGCCCTTCCCCTACTGACAATCTGGCTCATAGTACTTTGAAAGTACTTTGGCTCTGAGTCAGAAGGTTATAGGTTTCAGCCCCACGTCCCAGTGTGCTGACCAATAATCTTGGTAATACAATTGGTCGTTTGTTTCTTGGCAGTTTGTGGGACATTGCTGTGTGCAAATGGGCTGCCGTGTTCGCCTACAAATATAAATTACAAATTTATAATGGTGGCTGTGGAGTCCTGTAGCTCAGTGGTTAGAGTACTTGCTTTGCAACAACAACAAGATTACATTTGTATAGCGCCTTTCATGTTGGGAGGACGTCCCAAGGCGTTGGACAGTGTACAGCATTTCAGACCCGAGCTGGGGTCGGGGGAGAAGGGAGAGGAGGGGAAGAAGGGTGACCAATGGTATGGTCGAAGAGGAGGGTTTTGAGGCAGGACTTGAAGGAGGCTAAGGAGAGGGCAAGGCGGAGTGATTGGGGAATGGAGTTACAGAGGTTGGGGGCAGAATGGCTGAAGGCTCTCCTACCAATGGTGAGGCGGGTGGAAGCAAGCAAGAGATCTTGCAAGCAAGAGACCTGGGTTCGATTCCCAGTAGGGTGAAACCTTGGGCAAGTTTCCTTACTCCACACACCTGATAATAATCCCTCAAGGAAATAAAACAATAATAAATTGGTCACTTCAATCATATCTGTTTGTGGGACACTGCTGTGCGCAATTGGCTGCCGCATTTCGCCCACAAAACAGTCAATTCACTTTACAGTCTATTCTGTGAAGAGCTTTGAGACGTTTAGAAGACGTGAAAAGCGCTATATCAAATGCAACAATTATTATTATTTCACCAAATGCTGCCTTTTCCCATTAAAAAAAAACTACATTCATCAACACAAAACCAAGTAGGCCATGTCTTTAGAGTAAATTGTGTGAAGTGCTTTGAGAGGTCCACTCAACATAACAGATGCTATGCCAACATGAAAGGCGCTATGCAAGAATTATTATTAATTTCTCACTTGTACTTGACACAAAAGAATCTCAAATTCACCTATAGATTTAAAGTGTTTTGTTGAAGTCTTTCCTCTTTGGTAGAGAGATCGATAAATTTAGATGTTGCCTTAAATTTAGAGCTAAACTGGTCAGAAGTGGTATTAAATTTTTTTTATGAGAATATGGAATACGATGCTTCCAGAATACTACAGATGCAGATACAGAATCCGATGTTCAAAAGGGAGGTAGATCATTAAGGGATATGAAAAAGGTAAGCAAACAGGATTAAAAATGGCACACCTATGATGGATGCAGAGCCTATTCCTGTTTTGTGTTGATAAATGTAGTTTCTATCATAGGAAATGGCAGCATTTTTTTAAATGAGAGCCAGTATTATTAATTTGTAATGGAACTACTTTTAAGTAGGTTCTATGTTTTCATATTTGAAAATTACACTAAATTTGCAGTTTGACTGCCTAATCCTCTGAGCAAAATCTGTTCAGAATAAATTTGTACAACCATTTTTCAAAATGTTTCAAATGACCCAGTTATACTAAGTAAGCTGTTTTAAAAAAAAATACCATTTGGATTGGAAATTGGATAAATTAAAGTGAAAGCTTGAATCTTCTAATGCCAAGTGTCTTCAGGCACTAAAAAACTACGAAAGAATTCCTGTTTTTGTGACTCTTAATATATTTACCTTCGATAAAGTTTTGCCCATAAAATATGCAATCAATTCACTTTACAGTATATTCTGTGAAGCGCTTTGAGACGTCTCGATGACATGATAAAGCGCTATATCAAGTGCAAAGATTATTATTGTATTTAGGTTAAAATAACCAGATAAACATATATGCTGAAGGCTCTGCTAATATTGATTTGTCTTTTTATGTACTAAGTATTTTTTTTATTTTCCATTGCAGGTGTATCCTGGTTTGATGGTCACAGCCGGCTGCATACACTGGATCTTGAATACGCTTCACATAACGGTTCACATCCGAGATGTTTGTGTGTTCCTAGCTCCAGTGTTCAGTGGGCTCACGTCAATATCAACCTTCTTGCTCACCAGAGAGCTATGGAACCAGGGGGCAGGATTGCTTGCTGCCTGCTTTATTGCCATCGTACCAGGCTACATATCGCGATCAGTAGCAGGCTCATTTGATAATGAAGGCATAGCTATTTTTGCATTACAGTTTACATATTACCTATGGGTAAGAAATCCTTTCAATTTTTATATGAATATATTTTTAGAATCGGTGAAGTATTCCTTAGAATTTCAGTTGGACCCATTCAGGTGACTCCAGCTATGTCAGGTTTTGAGTTTAAATGTGTTTTTCATTTAATACTGAATTATTACGAAGCACTTGTTATTTGAAAGTTGCAGCTACTAAATCCTGGACTGCTTCCCATCCCTGCAGATACCCCAGTACCTCATCTATAATTGTTAAAACAACACCATCTCCAATTGTTAAAATACAAAGCCTTCAGAGAACATGTAGCTCAAATCTGGCCTCATAGTTCATTGTTCATAAATATTGCTGAATCACACCAAAACTTACCTCATTCTCCTCAACTACTCACATGCTTCATCTGCCCTATTCACCGTACCATTTGCGGGCAGGCTATCAGCTATTCTGCTTGAGTTCTTTGGAACTCCATCCTTCGCCTCGTCAAGGACCGTTTCAAAATATACCTCTTTGAGCGCAGTTTTGATCAATTTACTCCTCACACGCCCCCCACCCCTCCTACTGGGCCCATCTTCAGCTCAGGTGTCCAGCCAGCATTGTGGAGCACCTTGAGACATTTTCCTAACACGAAAGGCACTATATAAACATAAATTAAATTGTATAAATAGTCACTACACTTTACAATGCAACCTATGGCTTTTAGAAGTTTTGACTGTGATAAAACACTATGTAGGGATTGGACATCTTCCTTGTATCATAATGAGCAGATGACACAACACTTCAGTTCTAGCTTAACCAGGACATGGATCCAAATTCAAATAAGTTGCCAATGTAGTCCAGCGTCTTGTTTGCCTCATCTATTGCTCCCTCACCTGTTTCGATGTGATGAACAATAAGTCAACTAATTGTTGACTTATTTGCCCTTAATTAGTTAGGTCTTTTTCAATTTTCCCCTTGAAAGGCTCTGTCCCATCCATTGAGAGCATATGCATTATATTTTTACTTCTTATATGCAACACCTTTCATTTAACTGTTCAACTTAATTTGCCAGTGATTAGCCAAGGTTCATACATTTCTCACTTTTTTAAAAAAAATCTTGGCTGCTTCCTGATTCCACATTTCGCCCACCTTGGTGTTATCCGCAAATTGAATTATGTTGCATTAAATTTTTGAATCTAGGTCATACAATGGATTGTGCAATCGATTTGCATTTTTGTAGGCATACTGTGGAAAGTGCATATTAAGATTTTAAGAACTGCAAAACCTAAATGTTTTAAAATAGAAATATTTTACTTTAGAGCAGAAGCTTCGTAGGAAAATATAATGTAAATAATTAACGTGTTCCTTATTCATAAAATAATTGCAAAGTAAGCGAAATTCTATGGTGATCATCCCTTCAAAACAAAAATATTTTTTAAAAAAAATAATAATTTAGTCACTCGATCCATGACTATTTGTGGGACACTGCTGTGACCAATGTGCTGTCGCGTTTCATCCACAAAATATACAGTCAATTAACTTTATGGTAAATTCTGTGAAGCGCTTGGAGATGTCTCGAAGACATGAGAAGACGCTATATCAAATGCAAGGATTATTATTTTCTTGTAGCTTTAATGTATTGAAAGGCTGAATCATGCTACTGATTTCATACTGCTTATCCAAATTGCATTTATTTTCAGGTCAAATCGGTGAAAACTGGGTCTGTTTTTTGGACGATATGTTGCTGCTTGTCCTACTTTTACATGGTAAGGTAGATTACTTTAAGATTCTGTAGCATTGTATAGATACCAAAAATAAAGTCACGAATAACTTTTTCCCATCGCTTAGATAGATGAAACCTCATTCGTATTCAGTATGCATCATGCTTTACCGACTTTCAAAACCTTGTTTTTAGAAAAAAAGGGGTTGATTTGTACTGGGATATGATTCCGTGGGTGCCAATAATCCTCTGGAATCTTACCTAAGTTCTCACTCTGACTGTTTTCCCTCCTTTCCTCTATTTTCTGTGGGACTGGGTCCAATTATTTTGCCACAAGTCCTGCTCCAACTAAATTCCAAAAACTCAGCATGGATTTGGAATTGAACCTGCAGCCTTCTGTTCTGTATTACGTTAGTGCTTCACTGAAAGATGCCTCTATCCACTTGACAATGGACTTGGATTTTTGAGCAAATAATATATTAATGTTTCCCTTTAATAGGCTATTTGGGAACATTTGGATTGATTTGTGTTTTGTACGTTAATTGCAGGTATCAGCTTGGGGTGGTTATGTGTTCATCATCAACCTTATCCCACTGCACGTCTTTGTATTGCTACTGATGCAGAGATTCAGTAGGAGGGTCTATATAGGTTAGTGAACTCAGTTTATTGTTTCTCTCAATAATTTTGCATACATTTACATGGCATATCCTGTTCACATTTGTTTACACACAAGGCATATACAACGTAATCCTATTATACTTGCTTCTTGAGAACCACAATTTGTTTTAACAAAATTGCAGTATGTACCCCATTAACTGCGTTTGCGCAGCTGGCTTGCTCGCAGTTCTCTTCGTTCAGTGTTTGTGCTAAATATCTGACTTCTGTGTAATTTGGTCATCACTGATGTTGCTTCCTATTCACTGCTTTTGCACAAAACATTAAATGCTGATGGCGACCAGGTGGCTTAAAAGTTAACCATTTTAGCTCTCCACACTATAAAGGGCTGACTTTCCATGTCACCAGGCTCACGCTAACTTAACTTTCTGGTTTGCAGAATGATCTTGGAGTGTAACTTGAGCAGATTGTCCCTTCCTTAAATCGAAGAATTCAAAAAGAGAATAGAGTTTCTCCCAGTGTCCTGGCCAACAAATCCCCAAATACAATTGGTCACTCACTCCATGGTTGTTTGTGGGACATTGTTGTGCGCCATTGTGCTGCTGCATTTCGCCCACAAGATACAGTCAATCAACTTGACAGTATATTCCTTGAAGTGCTTTGAGACGTCTTGACGACGTGATAAGGCAGTATATAAAATGGAAGTATTATTATTAAATACTTTACACATGTTGAGTACTTTGCTTAATGTAGATTTTTGGATTGGAAAGAATAAAGCAAGTGGACGCTGTTTCTGGTGTGAATTTTCTACAGAGTGAACACTTAAGTCTCTTTATTAACTATATAAGCATTGTGATGAAAAACAACTGTCAAACGTTGTATTGCACATTATTTACATCCCTCTGCAATCTAATTATTACTGTGTGTGTAACTAACTCGCATTGTGTTCCATACAAGAGTGAGAGGGGAAAAGTGTGAGATCCCTTGATACAGTATTCCCAGGGTAGAAGGAGAGGAAATGGATGTCAAGAATATTGCCCCCTCACACCATCTTTAACCCTTAAAAAGTGGATACCATCCAGATATCTTTACTCAAACACTCTATAGTTAATGGTTTCGACCCCTAACCATGGGAGAAGAATCCAAGAGTTTCCCAGGCCAGTTGAATCTTACAAAATACGGGTTCTGTGCAAGAGCTTGAATTCAGTTATTGAGCTTGAAGATGTACAGCACATCTCTTTTCCATGTCTTTTTTAATGTAATCAAAGTTGCCTATGTGCTTAAGTAAACATGTTAATTTTCAAGTGACTTTCCTCGAGGCCCTTTCCTCTATCACCTTGGGATGTCCTCCCGATGTGAAAGGCGCTGTATAAATGTAAATTTGTATTGTATTTCTGATCAAAATGTATGTTTTGTGAAAGTAAGGTAAACTGGTGATAAATTCTATGTTTTATTAAAAGGAATAATCTAATCTGGCATGATCTGTCGGTGGCTTTTGTCTCTGTCCTATGGATTCTGTCTGCTATTAAATGACAAATTTGATATTTGTTTTGAAATTACTTTATATTTGTAGCTTAATGAAATTAAAAAGAAAATAGTTGCAGCATAGCTTAACACATGTTCTTCAGGTTATTAAAACTATAATGTGGTGTTTTGTCGAGACAACAATTTAAAACAATTTTTTTTTTACCCAGCTTACAGCACGTTCTACATCGTGGGTTTAATATTATCCATGCAAATACCATTTGTCGGGTTCCAACCAATTCGAACTAGTGAGCATATGGCAGCAGCAGGTGAGTGGTTTAATTTTGTTGAGCAAGTTTTCATTTAATTCTCCTTCTATAGGCTGTGAGCCATGATAAATAATGTAGTCAGGAGCTATCATGTTAAGCCATTTTCACTCAACCCTGTCAACGTGATAATTTGGGTCCATAAAATGAGACCACGCCTTATAACAGGCCCATGGAAAAAAATGTTGACCATGCCCATTTCTGGGCTCTGACTTGGAGGGACGCCAGGACCGAGTTCCAGATAGCAAGACAGAATGGCTGAAAGCCCACCTGCCGATGGCGCAGTGGATAGGGTGAGATATCTGAAGCAGGCCTGTGGTCACTAAGAGAAAGAAACAGCCGAGTCGGTGTAGTGAAAGAAGGTCTCAGAGGTAGAGTGGGGCGAGATTGGAGAGATTTGAATGTGAGACTGAGGATCTTGAACTCAATTGATTTGAGGATGGGGGGGTTCAGAGAAGCCATGCGTTGATGGGGGTGATTTTGTATTGCGGGGCTTGGTGCGAGAGAGGAAGTGGGTGGCTGAGTTCTGGATAGTTTGCAGCTTATGTAGGGAAGAGCTGGTGAGTCCAGCAAGCAGAACATTGTTATATTTAAGCCTGGATGTGATACAAAAACGTGGGTGATGGCCATGGCAGCCTGAGGGGGAGATAGGGGTGAAGGTGAGTGGGTAAGAGCACGGATGTGGCATTTAAAAAACAGTTGGGAATCGAACAAGATGCCGAGGTTCCACACCGGCTTAGCGAGATTAAATGCATGTTGATGCTGTTGGTGCCTGAGATGAGAAATCTCATCACTGGAGTTCATACTGATATGTAGAGTTCATGCTAATATGATTTCTGCTTTCGCTAGTTGAAAATGCATTTTTATATAATACGAAATCAGTTTTGATGCAATTTAAGCACCACTTGTGTTAAAATAAATCTAGTTTAGACTGATTGAAAACAATATCTTGAATTTTGTATTTCTCTATAAACTTTGTAATTCCTTTTATGATCAGGTGTATTCGCCCTGCTGCAAGCTTATGCCTTCTTGCAGTACTTGAGAGACAGACTAACGAAGCAGGAGTTCCAGACTCTGTTCTTCTTAGGCATTTCACTTGCTGCTGGTGTGGTATTTCTCAGTGTCATTTACCTGACATATACAGGTAAGTTTACGCACAGAATATTTGTAATTTAAGTTTTTAATTCATCCCCGTGTTCGTGTTCCAGTTACAGAAGCAGGAAGATTACAATTTCAAGTGAACTGTGTGATAATTCTTCAAACCAAAATAATCATTTAAATAGTAACTGGTGAATAATGTAAACCCGAAGCCAGTAAAAGTTTAATTAAATGGCTTTTTACAAATTGTTCATGGTTTCTACATGGTGGGGTGGGGGGTAGTTCTCCTCTGAATTCAATAGGGTTTCATTTTCATTTATTCATAGCATGGGCATGTCTTAATTTTGAGGTAGTGCTGTTCTTTATGATTTATACTGAGTGCAACAGGCTTATTATGCTCCAGTTGTGTGACAGAGGTACTTTTGGATTTGTCATTTTAAACTTTGAGGGTTAGAGTCCGAAGTGAAGCATTATTGCAGCTTTTGTTAATTCGTTTATCCTCTCATGTTTCAGGCTACATTGCACCATGGAGTGGAAGATTTTACTCACTGTGGGACACTGGGTAAGGATTTCTGAGATCAGGTGTACTTGTTTTTTATGGGTGGAGTGGACCGGGCTATGTTGATTTTAATTGATATTAGATTATATTAGTCTAAAAACTGCTTCACCTTGAAGTGACTATAAAGCTATGACATCAATGCTGATATCAAAGCGGTCTGACTCTTTCAAACCATCTATGTCGAGCTAATGGGGACATTAAAACTTCTCTATTCATTATCTACTTGCATTGCAGCCGAGGGATATGATTCAATTAGTATGATCTAATTTTATTGCCAGAATATGTGTAGTTGCAATCAGTGAGCACCGGGCGGATTAATTTTTTCAATTAGTGTCCCAGAGTACAGAAAATGGGTGCAGTTTTAAAACATTTTGCTATCTATAGAAACAAACTTAAGTACAAATGGAGGGCATTCAGCTCATGGTATTATCCTAGCTCTCCACTGGAGCTATCTATTCTAATCTCATTTCCATGTATTTTTCCCATGCCTTTAAATTTTTCATCTTTATAAGGATATAATTTTTTTTGCATCAAAAATGAATAGCCACTTGAGATACGTTGCACATTTTAATAACGTTTTTCTTTTATTTAAAAAATGAACTTCCATTTTGTCAAGTAATAATCTCGAGGATATGATCCCTTGTCGCCAGTTCACCAGAATGATTTTCTTTTGAATCTGTACGTATCTTGTTTAATATTCAGCAAGTACAAAAGTAGCACTTAACCTTGATTGTTACAATTCGTTCCACAGATATGCAAAAATCCACATCCCTATCATTGCCTCAGTATCTGAACATCAACCGACAACATGGGTTTCCTTCTTTTTCGATCTACACATATTGGTCTGCACCTTCCCAGCTGGACTCTGGTTTTGTATCAAAAACATCAATGATGAAAGAGTATTTGGTAAGAGAATTTGTCTAATTGCGCTGGGTTTCATTTGAAAGCAGTTGATTCAAAAGAAAAAAAAATGCTGAAGATAGGTCACTAGGTGGTCACTTGTAACATTTGAGTAAGAACATTGATCAAACTAATTTAATCTTTGGAATGTAAAACCAATTTTAATGTCAGGATTATGGTGCATTATAAAATAAGCATATTGTTTAAAAGTTACTTGTTGTAGGCAGGAATGGAGAAGCAATAAATTCCAGAGATAATGATGTGTTACAATGTTTTTGTCGCATCAAACAATTGAAATGTATATTATCAGTGCTTGCTCAACACAAGAATCTTGTGTGACAGGCATAGATTTCTGTTGCTGCTTTTTATTTGGCCAGTAGGAGGTGTGTGTGTGAGCAATCTGGGTGATTTGGCAACCTTTTTTAATAATAATAATATTAATCCTTCCATTTGATATAGCGCCTTTTCATGTCTTCTCGATGTCTCAAAGCTCTTCACGGAATATGCTGTAAAGTGAATTGACTGTATATTTGTGGGCGAAACGTGGCAGCCAATTGCAAACAGCAGTGTCCCACAAACAGTCGTGGACTGGAAGTGATCAATTTATTATTGTTTTGTTTTGGAGGGAATATTATTAAATATTAAAAATTATTATTTTTCTGATCTCTTGTGAAAATATCTAAGGTGCCTGCTGATTGTAGCTCTGCAATTTAGTGTAACAGCCGGGCTGCAATGAGTAATTTTCTGTTTCAGGAATCACAAAAGTCAATGTAATTACCATTTGCTATGTGACAGAGGATCCCTCACACATTAATGTGCTCTACGTCCGTCGGTTTAACTCTTTAGATGGAAACAATAAATTATTTTTCAATCGTTCTGGATTTTTTTTAAAAAAGTCCAGCGAACTTTTGAGTTCATTCCCTGTTTTGTGTCAGTTTAAAAATGCTGCCTTGTGGACATCTCTCCAAGTGTATAATGTGCTGTGACAAAGCCAAGATGAGACTTCACGCTTCAAGCTCATTCACTGAGCCAGAACATGGGAATTAAGAAACGAAATGAGTGGTGTGAGTGAGAGCACTGGAAGAGGTTGGATATGTCAGGCGTTATTTAGGATTACACAATAATTATAGTAGAATATAAATACACCTGAAAGATTGCAGATATCTGTGAATCCACATGTGAAATGTCCAAGACAATTCCATGACTCCTTCAGTCATTTATGTAATATCTAAAAAATAATCAATATGATAGCAATGTAATAAAGAATTGTAGTATTTAGGGAAATTAGGTCATTTATGGTTTGTGTGTATGTTATATACATAGTGTGTCTATATATGTGTGTATAGATAGCACACAAACAGGGAGATTAAAGTCCAGGTCATTTCTGAATGAGCAGAATAATGTTATTAATGCAATAGAAATGATAGACCGCATGCAATAAATCATCACACGACTCTAAATGTAAGAAAATGTGCTGTGTGTAATAAACCTTTTTTAAAAATGCAAACTGAATGCTTAATAAATTCAAAACGAAGTGGGTGGATGGATGATTGATGAAACATACTAAATGTAATCTAAAAACAAAACGTTTAATGTCATGGCAGACTACAAAATGTAGATATGATTACTGAACCACTTGTTTATGTCTTACCTCTAAATCTTATGTAGAAATTCGGTAGGTTCACAAAGTTCTGTGTAAAATTTCAACTGTTCAGTACAGTCATACAAATGGGAAAGTTGGTGATGTTTCCTTGCAGTGTAAACACGCTCACCTTCTCAGATTTCTCAATAAGGGGGTAGTTTTGTGCTGGCAATGTGCAGGGCAAATATTAAATAAATGCTCCAAAATGAATAAATAGTAAAATAAAAGAGAGTATGGGGATAAAAGCACTGTGATATTGTATTCATCCTGACTTGTAAGGGAGAAAGATTTGTTTATAGAGGATGGTAGTTTTCCACAACATCTTTTATTTGGTAAAGGTGGACTATAGTTTATATAAGTTTAGCTTATATTAAATCTAACAGCTCTAGTTTATTTTTTAAAAAAACACTTCATTCTCTGGGGTACATCTACAAGAAGGTTTGTTCACTGAGATGACATAAGGAAAACAAGTATTTTTCTCAAATCAAAGTTCTTTTTTTATAATTCGATGCATTTGGGAAATCCTGCATCTCTGAAGGATGATGAAAACTCTTGAGTTATATGCATTGTGATCTCAGTTTTTTTTTTGAAGCTTGCGTTGCTACACAGAACATTACATTTTATAATACAATAATAATTCTTACTTTTGATATAGCAATTTTCATATCAGGAGAATGTCTCAAAGCCCCTTACAGAACATACTGTAAAATGGAGTGACTGTATTTTGTGGATGAACTCAAAATACAAAACTGTACAATACAGTATACAAACTATCTTTTGGCAATTATAGTTTGCCGAAATTAGTCTTAATAGAAAAGGCATTTCTTTCCTTCCATCTGCTCTAATCTTGTGTTGAGTTCTCTCTTTGATTTAGATTGGCATTAACCATGTGAACTGCCCTCTCCCCAGTTGCTCTTTATGCAATCAGTGCTGTTTACTTCGCTGGAGTCATGGTACGTCTGATGCTGACACTCACCCCAGTTGTCTGCATGCTGTCTGCAATTGCTTTTTCCAACGTCTTTGAACATTATTTGGGTGACGACACACAGAGGGAGAGCCCACCAGTGGAGGACAGCAGTGATGAAGATGACAAGAGGAACTCTGGGAACCTCTATGACAAGGTAAAAGAGGAGATTCCTTTTAAGGCCTACAGTAATAATCCTTGCGTTTGATACAGCGATTTATCACGTCTTCGTAGCTTCTCAATGGTGAGCTTCACCACATCAAAAAGCTGGCTTTATTACATTAATGAGGAGCACAAAATTCTGCTCACCAGGCCTCAAATGCTGGCTGTTTTCCCCTTAGAGAAAGATGGAAGTCTAAAATGTCACCCAAAATGTTCAGGGATCTTCTGGAGACCAGTTACAGGACAGATTTAGAAAAATAATAACATTTATATGTATCATACTGGCCAGTGAATGGTGCTTGAAGAGAATTTAACTGTGAGGATATAGAAACATAAACTTGTCTTTCTTTGTTCAATAAAGCACCCATCTCATACAAATTAGATTTTTCGTAGAAAAGTTACTTTTGTTCTCATAATTAATTCAAGATGGACCTTTGTATGTAGAATTGTTGTTTTAGTTTTTGTTTACCTTATGTAAGTGCACCAATAACTTGAATAAATGTTGGATTGAAGAGCAGTACCTTTGCACGGTGCCTTTTCATCTAGGAGACATTTAGATCTGGCTAAGACTATTGGGGAGTGTTCACACTTCTGCAGTAAAAATTCTGCGTGAAAGAGCTCCAGTTCCTAATTGGCACAGGCCCACAGCATGAAACTGGCAGTGTTTAGCAGTTTAATTCACAGAGCTTTTGTGCAAAAGAATTCTAGATGTTGGGAGTTGTTTTTCTGAGATTGATAGTGAAACATGCCATCAGTCCCACTCCTCTGGTGCCATTTTGGGGTAGGATGGTAGCGGTGTAGGATACTGGAGTCCGATCCGACTAGGATTAGCTGTTACTGCTATCTCAAAACAGTCGTCACAATACTTCAAAACAAGCAAAGCTCAATCTTTCACATACAGCTCACTTGGAAACTACCTTTGGGTGTCTTATAACATAGAATGGTATAGCATCGTGTTATTATGCACAGACATTTTAAAATAAAGCTAGATTTAGAATTTATGATTGAAATTATTGTTAACAAGTACTGTATACACCATGTGACTTTACCTTGGTTACTGAAGTGGTGAAATGATTCAGCATAATGGCTGACTACATCATGTCATAGGAGGTGGTTTGATGTTACTAGAATCTGTTTTGCTTCATGCATGTATTTAAAGTTCGACTCAATAAGATGTTCATGAGAAAGGATTCTATAATAATACTAACAATTCTTGCATTTGATATAGTGCCTTTATAGTGATATAGATATCGTTGAGACGTCTCAAAGCGCTTCACAGAATATACTGTAAAGTGAATTGACTGCATATTTTGTGGGCAAAACGTGGCAGCCAATTGCACACAGCAGTGTCCCACAAAGTGTCTTAGATTGACTGATTTTAAAAAAAATTCTGATTCTGATGATTCCCTTTGTTTCTTCCAGGCAGGCAAAGTGAGAAAGCATGTGTCTGAACAGGAAAAGACCGAAGAAGGATTGGGCCCAAATATCAAGAGTATTGTTACCATGCTGATGCTAATGTTACTGATGATGTTTGCTGTTCACTGCACCTGGGTGACGAGCAATGCCTACTCCAGCCCTAGCGTGGTCCTAGCTTCTTACAATCATGATGGGTAGGGAATTGCGTTGTACTTATTCTCTGCTTTCTCTCTTCAGATTTTTGTTGCCTGTAATGTTTCAGTTGTCATTTTGGTGGGGGGAGAGGGAGTAGAAAGTAGGAAAGATATGATTGAATCAATTACAGCTTTGCTCACTTTCACAGGCAGTGCTTTTTATTTTGTATGATTTTGAAATGGGAAAATTTCCTATTTGATTCATGAAGTTCCTTTTTAAATTCAGATTGTTACAAATAATTTTTATTGGGAAGGTTTGTGCGCAAGTTTATTTCTAGGACTACTCTAGGAAAAGCTTACGTCATTTGCTCAGCATTGATACGTAATGAACGGAGGTAGAATTGTGTTTCAGACATTTGGGTATTGTTAGAATCATAGAATGTTACAGCACAGACGGAGGCCATTCAGCCCATTGAGCCTGTGCCGGCTCTTTGAAAGAGCTGTCCAACTAGTCCCACTCCCCCGTTCTTACCCCATAACTCTGCAAACCTTTTCCTTTTGAATATAATAATAATAATAATCCTTGCATTTGCTATAGCACCTTATCGCATCTTCGAGATGTCTCAAAGCGCTTCACAGAGTATACTATAAAGTGAATTGACTGTATATTTTGTGGGCAAATTTGTTCAATTCCCTTTTGAAAGCTACTATCGATTCTGCTTCCACCACCCTTTCAGGCAGTGAGTTCCATATTAAAAAAANTATTGGTTAGCCACATGTCTGACACATGAGGAAGCTCATCACTTTAAGAGTACCCAAACCAGACAAGTTTCACATCTATGCCACTTATACATGAAAATACTCCTGTATCTGGAATGAAATGTTCCCTCTCTCTGAGGGGATGCGTTGTGTGCGTTGGGGTACTGCTGGAATGTAACCAGCTAAAACTCCCATCGCTGGCTACCGGGAGCACTGCCTGGCAAGCTTTCCTGCTGCTTGTCCAGCTCGAGCCGCTGCCCATTGGGGCTTTTGGCTTGTCGGCTGGAAGAGTCCCTATCCCCCAATTGGTCTGTCAAAACCAAGTCCTGCTGATGAGTCAGCCTGGCTGCTCTGGCTCAGGAAGCAGATCAGTGAGGGTTGTTTCAATTCTGATATTCTGTGACCATGTCACTTTTGGAGCCAGTTCCGATCCAAGAAGACTCTAATCCCCCCCACCCTCTCGAGGATAATTTTATTGATCAATAGCATTTGAATTAAATCTGCTAACTTGGTCTGCCAGTCTTAAGTAGCAGTAAATTGCTTATTATTCTGTGATTGTCGTGTTATTATACACAGACCATTATTTTTCTGCTTAGTGCGTCATTTCAGGAGTCCTGTAGCTCAGTGGTTAGAGCACTCGCTTTGCAAGCGAGACACCTGGGTTCAATTCCAGGCAGAGGGCGAAACCTTGGGCAAGTTTCCTTACTCCACACAGAGCCTAATAATAATCCCTCCAAAACCAAACAATAATAGATTGGTCATTTTCAATCCACGACTGTTTGTGGGACATTGCTGTGCACAATTGGCTGCCGCGTTCGCCCACAAATATACAGTCAATTCACTTTACAGTATATTCTGTGAAGCGCTGTGAGACGTCTAAAAAACGTGAAAAGCGCTATATCAGATGCAAGGATTATTATTATATATTATTATTTCAGAAAACGCTTAGAAATGTAGGATTTTGTATAAACTGCTGCTATTTCGTTGTACCAAATATAGACTTCAGAATCCATTTTGCTATTTGTAGTTTATATAAAATTTGTTTTACAGCACACGTAATATCCTGGATGACTTCCGTGAAGCCTATTACTGGCTGCGACAGAACACTGATCAACATGCTCGAGTGATGTCTTGGTGGGATTATGGATATCAAATTGCTGGAATGGCCAATAGGACCACTTTGGTAGACAACAATACGTGGAATAATAGCCACATTGCACTGGTAAGAACACTAAATGAGAACAAAGTTTTATTTATGTTTTTAAAAAACTAGTCTTGCAGATGACGGTTTATTCAATTCCGACATTCTGTTGCCAAGCACGTCAGCTTGGAGACCTGTAGCTCAGTGGTTAGAGCACTCGCCTTGCAAGCGAGAGATGTGGGTTCAATTCCCGGCAAGTCAAAACCTTGGGCAAGTTTTGTTACTCCACATGCCTGATAATAATCCCTCAAGAAAAAAAAATAAAGTAATAATTTGGTCACTCAATCCACGGCTGTTTGTAGGACACTGCTGTGCGTAATTGGCTATTGCGTTTCGCCCACAAATATACAGTCAATTCACTTTACAGTATATTCTGTGAATTATATTCAGTATATTGAGACGTCTCGAAGACGTGAAAAGTGCTTTATCAAATGCAAGGATTATTATTATTTATTATCTTGGAGCCAGGTCAGCTGGTAACCACGCTTTCAGAAGGAGATAAAGCAATCTTATGGCCCAGCCTGATTTGCCTCATGTTGATTTCACAAGTGGGTGAAAGTAATTAGATATCACTTGCTAACAGAATCTTTGCTACTCCCAAGTGCAAGCACCTAACAGTATGCATTTGTTTTCAAGTCGATATATTTTAGAGTGTAACATTCTCAGGTATAGCTACGAAAAGCACAGTGCACTTTAATTTTGACAGTGGTATGATTGACAATAGAATTGCTCGTGCTCCATTATGCTTCTACACGAAGCAGCCGCAAGATGGTTTCGGTTTGTCACGATGTTAGCACAGGATCTTAAATTAATGGCAGAGCAGATTAACTGCAAAGTGTTATTTCTGACCTTCAATCGGCAATCAAAATTTGTCTAATATGTTTCTTTTGTTCAAAAAGATATTTGACGTTTCTAATATGTTTCTTTTATTCAAATCTTTCATACTGTGATGTAGGCAATCCATTAATTTATACATCTGTTCTCTTAGGTCGAGATCTGTGTCTGAGTCGGCCAGTTAATTGAATAGCTGTGCTTATTGATACCTCTGTCTGTCTCTGAAGCATTTACTTAAATTAAGTTATGCTATTAAAATTGGCAACTTGACACCACAGTTATGTCCCAAGTGCTTTCCTGAAGTGGTATATTGTCATCCCAAGCTTCTTTCTCACAATATGCGATGTTAGCCTAACTTATGTGGTAACACTGTCGCCTCTGGGTCAGTGATTTGTGGGTTCAAGTCCTGCATTGGTGACTTGAAACTCAGGGTGTACCTTTATGAGTGGCCAACAAAATAAATTTGCTTGATTGAATATTTCTTGATTTATGCCACAGGTTGGCCATCACTGCATTAAACCAATGACCTGTCTGTCTGCCTGTTCATGGTGGATGTTAAAGAGTCCATGATACTATTTGAAAGGAGGAGTTTCTTGTGGTGTCCTTGCTAACGATCTTCCAGTTAAATTGGTCATTCACCTCCTGGCTAGTTGTGGGACGTTGCTATGCATAAATTGGCTGCCGTGTTCACCACTTTAAGACCTTTTGACATGATAAATCACTATATCAAGGCTGGACTATGGGACTCTCTCCTCGCCGGCCTTCCCGGCACCTCCCTCCACAAGCTGCAGGTCATTCAGAACTCTGCAGCTCGTGTGCTGTCCCGCACCAGACTTCGGGACCACATCACTCCCACCCTCGCTCGCCTCCACTGGCTCCCCATCCCCCAGAGGATCGAATTCAAGATCCTCATCCTCACCTACAAGGCCATTCACGGCCTTGCTCCCTCCGACCTCTCCGATCTACTATCCCCCTACTTACCTGCCCGTACCCTCCATTCCTCTGGCTCCGGTCTGCTCCACATCCCCCGCCCCAACCGCCCTACCATCGGTGGCCGGGCCTTCAGCCTCTCAGCCCCGAGGCTCTGGAACTCCATCCCCCAGTGCCTTCGCCGCTTCCTCCCTTTCCTCCTTCAAGGCCGCTCTCAAGACCTTTCTCTTTGACCGTGCCTTCAGCTCCCCTCTCGACTCTCTACCCCCTCCTCGCTCCCTCCCTTCCCTCCCCTCACTCTGACCATTTCCCCCCTGCTCCGGTCCTGACCCAACTGTACAGTGCCTTGGGACGTCCTCTCCGACGTGAAAGGCGCTCAATAAATGGAATCTTGTTGTTGTTGTATATCTGGTTATTGCCTCATGGTAACCAATTGTGCATCAGCTCTGATTGAGAGGCAAACCTCTCACTAGTGATAGTGTTTGCATCGAGATAAACCTTGTAATATGTGTTCCTGTATTTTTCTTTACTGTTCAGAATCCTACAACTGAGCTGTTTAAAACTGAGTGTATTCATCTTTCAGGTTGGAAAGGCAATGTCATCTAATGAGAGTGCAGCCTATCAGATAATGCAGAGTCTGGATGTGGACTATGTGCTCATTATCTTTGGGGGAGTGATTGGCTATTCTGGCGATGACATTAACAAGTTTCTCTGGATGGTCCGCATAGCCGAAGGAGAGCATCCAAAGGATATCCGGGTAAGGTGACCCTTTAACAAGATAAAGTCTCCCCTCACAGCTTTGTTGGAAACTTGCTAGTGTAATTGAAATCAAAATAGGCAGCTGAGATTTTAAATCAAATTTTATAACTTTCAGGAAAGTGACTACTTCACACCACAAGGAGAGTTCCGTGTGGACAAGGCTGGCTCTCCAACCTTACTGAATTGTCTTATGTACAAGATGTCCTACTACAGATTTGGAGAGATGCAGGTAACAACAATAACTTGCAAACGTTTTGAAGCACGATACAGTGGCGGAGTTGAGCACTGAACAATGGGGGAGAAGGGAGGTGACTGTAGACCCAGGCGAGTAGGTAAGTCTTTAAGGTGGGAATTAAGGAAGGGTGAGATGGAGAGTTCCAATTTGCCCCACAAACAGCCATAAAATAAAGTAAATGATCATTTTTTATGTGGAGGATTGTTGGCCAAGCCACTGAGAGAAACTTTTCTTTTCGAATAGTAGTACGGGATATTTAATGTCCACCTGAATAGGTAGATGGAACAATGGTATGACATCTGATCTGAAGGATAGCATGACTGACAATGCAGCACTCCCCAGCATTAACTAAATGGAATATTAATGTAGACCTTGAGCCCAAAGTACCTGAGGTGGAGCTTGAACCCAGAATCTTTTGGTTTAGAGGCGAGAGTACAACTGAGCCAGGCAAATAGTGTCAGCAATGTCCCATAAATAATAGTGAAATGAATGACAACTTTATTCTTTCGTCGTAAATTGGATGAAGAAGGAATATTGACTAAGACATTGGAAGAGTTCCCTCGCTTTGCCAAATATATTGAGGCTAACCATTTTCTCCAGGAAAGGTAATATTGATCACAAAGCTAGCTGTTTTCAGAAAGTTGCAGTCATCAAAATTTTTTTTATGAAAAACATAAAGATGGTAACTTCTGTCAGCTGAGCTCTGCTCTCGAGCTGCCGTGCGGTAAGTACTGATGAAAGATGTTCTGTTTTACAGCTGGATTTCAGAACACCCCCGGGATTTGATCGTACCAGAAATGCTGAAATCGGTAACAAGGACATCAAGTTCAAACACCTGGAGGAAGCCTTCACTTCTGAGCACTGGCTTGTTAGGATTTACAAAGTCAAGAGACCGGACAACCGAATGAAACTTACCCATAAACCAAGAGTAACTAACATTGTGCCCAAACAGAAGTATTTATCAAAAAAGGTGGGGAAGCCTTTGGAGAACCGAACTTTATATTTATTTAACTGATATTTTGCAAAAATTAAAATGTGTTGTGGAATGTTATTGAGCAACATGAATCAACTTAAATTTGAAGGGATTGAGCCCTCGAAGTTCCCTGAGGTCATATTCCCAATGATGCTCAAGAGAGTGGTCTGATAACCAGCTCCGGGACCAGCCGCAAGCGCATGATGTAATCCACAGATGATGTTTCGTCCAGTTACTGTTGTATCCCTGCATTCTTTATTGCTGCAACTTCACTGTAGCTTCAGTGTAATTTAATTTGTACTCTTGTTGCTTACAGAAATATTGAGCGTGAAACTAGCTGTTTTGAGAAAGTAGAAAAAAANGATGGTGTCATTTTAAAAATGACATTTAAATGTCAAATTTAAAATTCAATTTAATTCAATAATTAAAGTGGACGCATCAGTACACCATTGTGCTTAGAATCCATTTCTCATGCTGTTCCACCTGTTGCGGTAGTAGTAACAAGCACTAACTTAACAATTAACTGACCCCCGTGGTAATGTTTGGAATAATATAATGTGAATTAGGTAGATGTATTGCACTGCTGTTGTGCAAAGCACTATACATTTTACCAGAATGTCTCCCAAGTTTATAGTAGCTCAGAGGATCAAACTATTTGACATGTTTCAAAACATTTCTCAGCAATAGATTTTTGCTCCTTTGACACGACTCCACTTGGAAAAAAATATTTCTCTCTCAAACATCTTTGTGTGGATTCCTGAAAAGATCAACTTTCTGCAAATATTGTCATTCTGTGTGTTGAACTGTAACATCTGCAGATCATTAATGATGTTCCATCGTTGTACCCTAGACCTCTAAACGAAAGCGTGGGTACGTGAAGAACAAACTGGCACTGAAGAAAGGCAAGAGAACCAACAGGAAGACAAACTAAAAACATCTACGATCCCTGACAACAGGCAGTTGTCCTTATGACAAACAGCCTTTGCCTTTAGCTACGAACGGTATCTACTGCAACATAAGGTTGCACGCCATTGCTCCAGAGATTGACTGTAAAACTATTGGTTTTAAAGTAACACCTGTTTTATAGAGCCATACATAATTGTGTTGGCTAGGCAGAGAGCTGCTGTCCAGAGGTAGCAGCAACATTGTTATTGGTACATATTATCCTTAAAAAAATAAAAATGTTTTAAAATGAAATTGGACTAATTGCACCAAAGAACCCTCTTCTTTATGATCACTGGCACATGTATGCTTGGCAACCTTCTGGAGGGCCAGTCAGAACGGTTTCATGATTTATTTTTTCCTTGGGTGGGGGAATGTTAGATGATGGGCACTGATAAGGGTAAATATATAGCACAGAGAACACCGCAGATTTCTGATTGTTCTGTTATGTCGGAATAATGAAATGTGTCTCAATAGTTTTACTATCTGAAAGGATGATTACTTGGTTGGCAGTTCCATTATGCTTTATGTTTCCCCTTCTGAATATTAGTACTGGTAGACAAGGGGAAATATTCTGTTTCATTTTGGTGTGGGGTGGAATTGGGCAAGAAGAAGATATTAGCTAGTTTAGCGCAATGACAGGTTAGCAATTATACATGTGCTCTTTGCTGTCTATTAGAGAAAGACAGAGAGGGTTTCCTCCCTTGCCTCAGAAGTGACTATTTTGTTTTCAGCATCATACTTTTTTTTAAAAAGTTGATGGATCTTTCTTTTTTTCCATAATCCTGCCTTTTCTCTTTGTTTAAAGAAATGCAAAATTTGCAAACATTTCTTTCAGAGGCTTCTGTCAGCTTTGAGTTATTGCTTTTTAAAAGAAAAAATGTAATATATTAATTTGTGAACAGTTCTACAGAAGTTCAATGCACTATTGGTAACCTAAGGCAAAAAATTCTCCTTTTCATTGATTTTCATTTTCTGTAGTACAATTCATGTCTTAATATAAATTTTGAAATGTTCCTTTATGCACTGGGCATAATGAAGGCTGTTGAACTATACAGATCTTACAAATTTAGTTAATGTCCCCTTGTCACAAGATGTAAAATTGTAATTTTCTATGTAAGCAGCTGTTTAATACAAAAATATATAAACGTAATTTTAGCTGCAGAAACTATTGGTGTAAAAATTAAAGAATAGTATGTACCGTATTTTCAAAAACATTTGTAAATTAAACAGTGCAGTACATGCCTTATTGCTGCTTCCAGATTGTAACATTTTTTAAAAAAAAGTTTGATTGAAAAATTGTGCATCTCCCACCCCAGGATTTACTTTTCTTTCAGACTTGTAGTTTGTATGACTCCTGGATTGTGTGATCCAAAGTGAATTATGGCTGAATTTAATTCTTATGGGAGAGGAGTGGGGGGGGGGAAGTGGAAGTCATTTTTACATTATCGCTTATGGATTTCAGTTTAGACATGTTGTTCAACTGTAGCCAAAATAAACGTTAAATTGAAATTTGTGTTAAAAAAAAATACACTTTGCCTTTTTTTAAGAACAAGACCGTAGGACCCAAAGTAAACCATTCAGAGCATGACCTGGGCCAATAGAGTGCGGAAATATTTCCCCAAAATTGCAATGAAATTTAGCAAAGTTTGCAGAAAATTGTGGGGGGGGGCAGGGGAAGTTGATTGATGCTATTGAGGTACATTTACATTTACTGCCAACCTACATTTTTTCACTATTGATAAAACAATTAATCGTAAGGAAATAACATTAGATTGTTGCAAAGAAAAATTATTAGGATAACAAAAACTGGATGTCCCCAGTTTCCAGTGTCCTGGTTGCAGGGCTGCAGGAGCTCATCACCCCCTGACTCCCAGGGCCCAGCACACGGACACACTCACACAGAGACATTCATTAAACATAGGAAATAAAAGACAGCGGGGCCTCCGAGTAGAGTGAAGCCCATTTCCTGCTTGTGCCGCACTGCTCTGTCCACAACAACATCAGATAAACAGCCCGAGAGGCCCAGGCCCCAGAAACTTAATTTTTTAGCCGTTTTATAGCGGAGGGTGTTTATAGCAGATCCCGTAGAAAAATTGCAGCCACACTTTTCCATTGGCCCAGGTCATGACTGATCTCCAATACATTTTCATGCCAGTTCAGCATTTCCATTGACACCTGCTTGTTAAATTATCATCTACCTCCCTCTTAAATAGTTCATTGTCAGCCTGGCTCAGTTGACAGCAACCTCACCTCTGAGTCAGGGGGTTCAAGCCCTACGTTGGGAAAATGTCATTAACATTACCCCAAAGTAGGGAATCTCCAGGTATATAACACTTCCTTAGTGCTACATTGAAATGTCATCCTAGACGACAAGGTGAAAACTCCCACGTGGATGCAAGAGTGATACTAACTGAGCCAGGCTGATGCACAGTTTGCCAAGATTCATGACAGCATTTGTAAATCTCAAATCCTGCTGCACAAACCTCAGATATTACTTACATCTCTGCCAGGTCGCTGGCCAAAGGAAACAATCCATAGCTAAGTGGCTTTTCCAGCAGCCCGGAGAGACTCGCATGCAATCATCAACAAGTTCAGCGTTGAATATAACTCATGAATTACCACAAATAGTGGGTTGGCCTGGCTCAGTTGTAGGGTGAAATGTTGGGCAAGTTTCCTTACTCCACATGCCTCTGTTTACCAAAGGGGACAATAATTATAATAATTTGGTCACTTCAATCCACGACTGTTTGTGGGATCCTGCTGTGCGCAATTGGCTGCTGCATTTTGCCCACAAAATATACAGTCAATTCACTTTACAGTATATTGTAAGTGCTTTTGAGACATCTAGAAGACATGATGACACTATATCAAATGCAAGGATTATTATTATTATATTATTTGCAACTCCCTGTAACAAACATCAGAGGAAGGCACAGGAAGATGTATAGAAAATAAACTTTTTTAAAAATGTGTTGGATCAATTAATTTTAGATTAGCAATACAATTCTGGTTATTTATGAGCTTGAGAACAAAGTTGAAACTAACCCAAACTCTTCCCACCAGCCCCAAGAGAGAGATGTTTATCCCATTAAGTGAGAGCTGGATTCAATTCCAACTCTAATTGTTTCTAATTTACCATTTGCAATCAGATCCTGGGTATTAACAGCACACAAATAGCTATAACACTCTTGGTCTGAGAGCCTGTAATAATGAGAACTGATGCAAAACTCACACGTTGAGAGGAATCATTTCAATGAAAGAATCAATCTGTAGCTGAAGTAAGAAAATGTACTGAAGAGGCAGATTATTAATGTATAAAGTGATTTTTTTGAAAAAAAGATATTTGTGAACGGCAACTTACTCCCAGTTTCAGGAAGGAGTCGGATGGAGTTCTTTTTTTCTTTGTACCAGAGATCTTGTTTATCTCTCTTCCCCCATCATTCCCACACAGAGGTAAACTCGTTAAACGGTTCTCAGGAAACATTGAGTTACCTTTCAGTAGCTGACCACGGTCCTGTCCATTTCTATTATTTTATATGGATTTCCAGCAATAACATTTCATTTTATTCCCCGCATAAACACAGAGTTTGACAGCTAATGGTTTGATGTTTTACTGAAGAGGGAAATCCTTGGTTCAGAAAACAATGCTGAGAATGACCTGTAAACATCCCAAGACTTGTACTATGTGCCAGTGGATTGTCAGTGGTAGAGTAATGGTGCCAACTACAGGACATAAGGGAAAGCACATACTACTGTTTTGATGGCGTTGAACCATTAGGTGGATGGTGAATACTTTTCAGTAACATTCCATCTAACTTAGTTACAGAGGAAGAACAGTGCAACTGCACAAACCAACTCAGATGAACAACTTTAGGAATGTGACGGCCGAGCCTTGTGACATAAGGGTGAAAAATGCAATATGTGACACATTATGTGGCATGTGTGTTGTCCCAGTCGATTGACTGCAGGTGAACAAGACCTTTTATCATGAATATAACTTTTCTTCCCAAACCGTCGCACCAAACATTGTTAACATGATACAACATGTAGGAGCAGGAGTAGGCCATTCGGCCCTTCGAGCCTGCCCCGCCATTCAATCATGGCTGATCTTCTACTCTAACTCCAGCTAATAAACTGACCCTGTCTTATCCCCATATCCCTTTTGCAATAAGAAATCTATCTCTCAGTCTTGAATATGTTCAAGGACTGAGCGTCAACAGCCCTATGGGGTAGTGAGTTCCATACATTCACCACCCTTTGAGTGAAGAAGTTCTTCCTCAACTCAGTGCAAATTGTTCACTGAATTCAGCTGAAGCTGCCGCTGAGCAGATCCCAGTATATGAGTGCCAGTCATGGAGTAACTTACAGAACTCAACTTTCCATTTCAACAACAACTTGCACTTATGTAGCGGCCTCCGTGCAGGGTAGCATCTCAGAGCGCTTAACAGTAGCGGAGCCTGACTCCGAGCCGGGGGGGTGGGTGGCTGTAAGCACGGTCGAAGAGGAAGGTTTTCAGGCAGGACTTGAAAAAGGGGAGAGGGGGGCAAGGTGGAGGATTGAAGGAGAGTGTTCCAGAGTACAGGACCTGTATCTCTAGCAGTGGGGAGGTTGCCAGGCAGTGCTCTCAGTGGCAAGCTATGCTGTTTTAACTAGTTGAACTCCAGCAGGAGCTCAATGGACACTCAGGGGTTCCAAGCCTTGGCTCTTGCCAATCCTCACTTAATGTGTCAGCTTGGCTCAGCGGTAGCATTGAGACTCTCGTCTCTGAGTCAGAAAGTTGTGGGTTCCAAGTCCCACATTGGGATTTGGAATCATACACTCTTAAGATGACACCAATGCAATGCTGCGGGTGTGCAGCATTGTCGGAGGTGGCGTCCTTCAGATGAGAGGTTAAACCGAGTTCCCGTTTGCTTGTTCAGGTGGATGTTAAAGATCCCATGGCATTATTCGAAAAGAGAAGAGAGTTTCTCAAATAAAATCGGTCACTCACTGCATGGCTGTTTATGGCCATTGCCATGTACAAATGGCTGATGCATTTCAAATGCCAGTACTGTATTATTATATTCTGGAGTGGTTAAGCAGATTCCGGCATTTCAAGGTAGACTGGGAATCATTTTTAAAGTAAGCTTGGACTAATCTGTTTATCGAGACCAATATCTCAACCTGGCAAATGCTGCCCTTATATTATAAGTGAGCCAACAATTTGTTGACTAGTTTCCAAACAAGATACCCTGGGTATTAGAATTAAATGGCACAGATACGAACAGAAATAAATCTTTCATGCCTCTAAGCTTCTGTTGAGAGGCCTGTATGACTGAGATGACAGTAGGATTCTCAAGCCTTTCATGCTTGAATAATTCAGACATTTTTACTGGGAATTGGCTTCAGTCGGATTGACACGCACATTCCTCAAGGATTTCAAATGTAAATAAACATGAATGAACACTACATTTACCCGAGTGATCAGTGATGCCGACTGAGCAGGTGTTGAACCTATCTGCTGGAGTCTGTCCACTAGATGGAGCAGAAACCCACTACATCGCCAACAGAAGATAAGGCAATACCTTCCTCAATTTCCAGAGAAATTCAGTAAAACAATATGGAAGTGCTATAATTGCAGCTCCAAGCCTCAAGGCAGGATTTGGAGCTTATAGTCTCGGCTGACACTCCAAACACAGTGGTGGAGGAGCTCGAAATTGTAAGACGTTAAACTGAGGCCTCACCTGCTTGTTCAGGTGCACGTTAAAGATCCCATGGCACTATTCGAAGAGAAAGGAACTTCTCCAGTGCCTTGGCCAATGATTAAAACAAAATTATAATATAATAATCCTTCCATTTGATATAGCACCTTATCATGTCTTTGAGGCATCTCAAAGCACTTCACAGAATATACTGTAAAGTGAATTGACTGTATATTTTGTGGGCGAAACAGGGCAGCCAATTGCACACAGCAGTGTCCACAAGCAGTTGTGTATTGAAGTGACCAATTTATTTAATTTTTTTCAAGGAATTATTTCCCCTGGAAAAACGATCTGCCAATCGACTAAAAACCAGTTTTCTGCTGGGTAAACAAAGGTGTTTGGAGTAAAGAAACCTGCTCAACATTTCACCTGCCGATAAATCAAACCCAGGTCTCTCGTTTGCGAGACGAGTGCTCTAACCACTGAGCTACAGGACTCCATTAGGCCACTTATATTATTATAAGTGGCCTATTTCACATCTATTGATAAGAGATTTTCCCCGAGGTGAGCAGAGCCATCTATTCATTCAAATGCACATGCACAGAATTGTGCTTTCTCGAACCCATTCAAGATCCTGAGGCATTTAATGTTATCTCAAAATTAAAAGCTTTCTGAAAAAGGCAAATTGGAAGAAGCATGTTAAGGGGCAGTAATGGTTGGGAGGGAGAGAGGGGTTCAAATTCTTTTACACACAAGCTTTTATTCAGCTGTCTGCTTCAATATATCATTGATACTAACCATCTGTTACAAGCTATTTTCCAATGATCACTAAATTTACTGGTGGC